AGGTCGCTTGGGCGCCTCTTGGGGCCATCTTGGTGCGCTCTTGGAAGCCTTGAGGACGCTCCTGTAGCCATCTTGGATGACATCGATCGAAGAAGGGGAGGGTCGGAATCTGCCTTGCCCCTCGAGGCTGCCTGGAACTGCCTCTTGGACGCCCCTCCAGGAGCACTCTCGGGGCGCTCGTGAGCGCTCTTTGTGCCGTATTGGGGCTCTCTTGGGCTTCTCCTGGGGCCTCCTTGGGCCATCATGGAGCCATCTTGAGGCCTCGGAAGGCTATCGAATGCGAACGGGCAACGATGCAACACTCATCGATTTGTCTTTCTGGTGTTGAAAGGTTTTGGCTTCTTGGGAGCCTCCTTGGGAGTCTCGGGAGCCTCTTGGAGCTGTCTTGGCGCGGTCTTGGGGCCTCTTGGCGCATCTTGGAAGCCATCTTGAGCGATCTTGCGCTATCTGAAGCCATCTTGGAGGTCATCTTGGGCTCTCTGAGGCTCTCTGAGGCTTTCTTGGAGCCGTCTTGGGCCATCTTGGACGCTCTAACCCCTCGCGGCCCCACCCGTCCAGGTCCAGGGGAGAGGGTAGGGGGAGGGGTCTAGAAACCCACCCGCCCGCAAGCCGTCTAGCTCACTCCCACCCGCCCTCCCAACACACACGTAACTCCCTAGCCTCAGCATGTTCAGCGGTTGTCTTTGGATGGACAGCTACTGGGAACTAACGCTGAGCCCATGTGCGCGACGCTTGGGCGAGGTGCGCCACGCGTGCCAGGCGCGCATCGCGCGCCAGGCACCCCTGGGGCCCGAGCGTGTCAGGCACGCCTGGTGCGCCAGATGCGCCACGTGCTCCGACTGCGCCAGGTGTCCCGCACACTCCAGCCGCGCCAGGTGCGCCACGTTCGGGGCACGTGCAGAGTGTGTCAGGTGCGCCTGCGCACGTGACAGCACACATCGGGAAACATGTCGGCCCCCACCATCCATGCCGAAGACCAGTGTCCATCATTATGTCGGGTGGGCCTGCGCACAGCAGGCCATACGCCACCACTTGACAGTGATCGCGGGATGGTCGCGCATGATCCAGATTTAGCCGCGAGGTGCATTGTGTATTGTTTTTTTCAGGGATGGTAGCCCTGCGCGCAGGCAATATGATGACACCCCCGCCGTCCCGGTCAAAAATCAATACAAAGTGCTCGCGGGCCTCACGAACATGACTCTGAACTTTGCCCCAAAAGTGTATTTAGTATTGTTTTTGAAAGGGATGGTGGGGGGGTGGCCCTCATGGGGTTATCATTGTTCCTGGTTGGCTGCCGGTCGCCTGGGGGAGAACAGTGATCAAGCTACCCACCCGCCCGCAAGCCGTCTTGCTCACTCCCACCCGCCTTCCGAACACATAAGTAACACTTGGATGTCAGCATATCGCGAGAAAACGCCGCAGACGCCACGGGTTCCAGATGCACCGACCCTGGAGGCCAAAGCGTGCCAGGCGCTCCATGTGCTCGTGCCAGGAGCGTCAGCAAGGCTGGTTGAAAACCTGGCTTTGCCGGGACCCCTGGAGTCCAGGTCCCGTTTTTCTGGGGTCCCGTTTGTTTCACGCGGACAAATTCATGCAACCGCTTGCTTGTAAGAGCTTCGTCGGATTTCGACGCTGCGGCCTCGTGGTCGGGGTTTCCGGTCGTCTCTTGGGCCATCACTCATGGGGCCCCCGTGGGAGCCGTGGAGAGCCTCTGAGGGCCAATCGATCAAACACAAGGGGGGGGGACGTTCAGCTCCCCCTCTATTTGGGGCTGGCCGCGCCTTCAGGGGCCCTCAAAACAGCCTCTTGAGGCTCTCTTTGGGCCACCTTGGGGCGCTCTTGGGGCCGTCTTGGATCTGGAGGCCTCCCCTTTTGGGGCCTTCAAAAACCGCCTCTTGGCGCCCTCGTGGCGCCAACTTGGGGCGTTCCTGGGGCCGATTTGGAAGCCTCTCGGGCCAGTTTTGGAGCCGTTTGGAGGTTTTGAAATCCCATCAAGAACGATAAGGAGAAAAGGCGGCAGCCACTGATGTGTCAAACCAGTCGGTCGACCACCTGCGCCCAGACGGCAGGTGGGATCTGCTGGCACCCCAGCCGTCCCTGTCAAATACGAATACAAAATGGTCGTGGGGCGGCCGCGCATGCTCCAAGTGTAGAGGCAGAGTGTGTGTTTGCATGTTTTTTGAAAGAAATGGCGGGGATGGTGGCCCTCATGGGGTCCTCATTGTTCCGGGTTGGCTGCCGAGGCCTTGTGGGGGAGAGGGGGTGTACATTAGTAGGGAACAGTGATAATCCCTGCCCGAAGGGAAAGAAGGGGGTTGGAAGAGGAAGCTCCCTAGACCACCTTCGCCCAGAGGGCTGGTGGGATTCTGGTCCGAACGCACCCCGGGCGAGGTCTGGGGAGTAGCGGTATCGGTACCATCTGGTTTCACCAAGGTAGCCCACATGCGCCAGGAGGTGCAGCACTTGCGCGCCAGCGAGGCGACGATGAGGGAAACCCTGACGTCCGTCAAGCACGACGACGACAACGACGACAACGACGACGACGGACGTTGGACGACGACGACGACGGCGGCGGCGACGACGACAGCCAGGCGACGATAAGGGAAACAAGGCCTGACGTCCGTCCAGCACGACGACGACAAAGACGGCAACGACGACGCCGACGGACGTTTGACGATGACGACGACGACGACAGCCAGGCGACGATGAGGGAAACCCTGACGTCCGTCAAGCACGACGACGACAAAGACGACAATCACGACGACGACGACAACGGACGTTGGACGACGACGACGACAGCCAGGCGACGATGAGGGAGACCCTGACGTCCGTCAAGCAGTCGCACCAGCGGGGGAAGGCCAGCGTGGAGCCGTCCTTCATCCGCGCCGCCTCGTTTGCCGACCACGCGGCAGGCAGCCACGCGGCGGCGGGCCTGGAGCCGCGGGAGGCGGGGCCGAAGCGCCCACCACACCCCAGGGCCATGGGCGTGGAGGAGGAGCCGGATGCCGCCTCCGCCAAGCGCAAGAGCCGCGACGCCAGGGACCCCGGCGGCCTCCGGATATTCTCCCCGCTCTCCCAGTTCTGGCAGGACGTGCCGCACGAGATGGTGCCGCTGCTCAAGGACAGGTCCGAGGTGCACATCAAGCTCGGGCACAGCATCCTGTTCGTGGACGACTCAGGGCACCTGATGTGGACGCCCTGGATGAATCGCGGTCGGGGGTACAGGCAGAGCATGGCCTTCATGATCGAGCGGCGCGCCGCCAGCGGAAGCACAGACGACGACGACGGCAGCGTCGGAGCGACCTTCGCAGTGCGCTCGTCGAAGACGGGGAGGTACGTCAGCACCAGTGGCGGACTGCTGGACTCGCACTGTATGCAGGTGAAGGGTTCCGCCGCATCGGGCTGTGTGTTCACATTCGTGCCAGTGTTTACTGATGGATCCATGCCCGCCCTTGAGGGCGATGCAGCCAGCCGCTCTACCGGTAGTGCCGAGGAGTTTGCAGGAGCCTTAAAGCTGTTCAAGGACGGCAAGGTGTTAAGGCTGCGCAACGACGGCTACGTCACCACAGTGTCTGCGTCAGAGCTTGACGGTGACACCTCCAAGATGGCCAAGATGGCTTTCTCGATCGAGTACCTTCTTCCAAGGGACAGCTACAATATCGAAGTTGAGGAGGATCATCTCGGCATCACGGTCAGCAAGGACCTGCCCCTGAGAGTCATGAGTCTCCGTGACATCGTGAAGCCCGATCAATCTGGCAGCCTTCGGAATCAGTCTGGGCTTGCCGAGAAGACGGGGAGGATACATGTTGGTGACATGATCAGCGGCGTCAACGGGCAGAATGTGAGTGGGGTTCCTGCCCAGGATGTCATGGCGATGCTTGCGTGCAAGCGACCCATCACCATAACGTTCACCTTGCCGCGGGATGAGGGGCGTCCCGACGCCCTGTCGCCGACCTCCATGGCGATTGCCGCCTCGCAGAGTGAGCCCGCGCACGTGCGGCACGGAATGCGGCTCTTCGCGTTCGGCAAGCGAGCGAAGGAGACAGCCAGCCGAGCTGTGGAAACTCTCGCCCAGAAGGGCGCGGGCACCGTGCCCCTGTGAGTAGAATAGCCGCAAGTCCCAAGCACTCAGTCGACCCATCCAGTGTCTCACCATGTGCCCGCTCCTTCGGACGTGGGCGGCACGGGCGGGGGCGGGGGGCGCCGATGCCGCGGGCGAAACGTGCCCCGCGTCTCTCGTCGGAGCCACTTGCGGCCATCGCGTCAGCTCTGCGCTCCTGCCAAGGGCTCGCTCGTCCCCGTTTATCAGCTCCGCCGCTCCCAGCTGCCCGCCACCACGGCGCGGGCGTCTGCTCAGGCACGTGCCCAGGAAGGCCTCAGACCCTGGAGGGCTCCGCTGCCCACGAGGGCGGCGGCGGCACCCACGGCCGAGCCTCGATTGGATCTCCAGCGACCTCCAGGCCCTGGATTCCGCCCGCCCACCCCGCCGGCCCTGGCCTCCCGCCTGGGCGTTCGTCGTCGTCTGCCTGCTTCTCCCCTCCTCGTCCCTTTCCGCCGGGCCGCGCAGCCTGCCCGGAACCAGCGTGGCGGCATGCAGGGCTTCTTCTCCGACTCTGCTCTGAACTTAGAGGAACTTCCTTGGACGCTCCGAGGGCCTGGGAGTGCACGCCCCGGATCCCTATCCCGAGGGCTTCTCACATCGGGTGCCCCTCGCCGTGCCGTGCGCCCCTCCCCTCGGGCCAGCAGCCGACCTCTCTCTCCCGCGCTGCCCCTCCCCGCCTCCCGCCTCTCCCCGCGGGCCGCCCCCTTCTCCCCGCGGGCGCCCCTTGCCGTGCTGTGTGCCTCTCCTTTCGTCCTCCTCCTCCTCCTCCTCCTCCTCCTCCTCCTCCTCCTCCTCCTCCTCCTCCTCTCCCTCGCTGCCTCTCTCACTCCCCCTCTCCCCGTGGGGCCACCCGCAGGGGCGCGAGGAGGGCAGAGCGGCGCGCGTCGCGGCCCAGGCCCTCCTCCTGGGGCGGGAGCGGCGCCGGGGCGCGAGCCAGCAGGCGCGCGCGCGCGCGCCCGGCACACCACGCGGGGCGAGGCGGGGGCGGCAGGGCGACCTGGCCCAATTTCCGGCGCTCCGGCCACCAGGCAGGCGCGCGAGGCTGCCCCCGGGGGGAGCAGGAGGCGACTCCTGGGGCAGGGGGGGGGGCAGAGGTTTACGGGAAATTCTTTGATGGGGGACCGAGATCCTTTCATTTCTAATTGTTCCATCCTGGGAAATTCTTCGGAGATCCTTTCATTTCTACTTGTTCATGTCCAATTCTTCGGATTTTTTTGAGGGGGGGACCAAGATCTTTTCACTTCTACTTGCTCCATCCTGGGCCTCTTCGTGGCCGCCAGGGGGCCGGGAGCAATGAGAAGCGAGCACCGTTAGAAACGAGCACGATGAGAAACGAACGACGTGTGCAGGCGAGCACCTGGCCCAGCAGCCTCCCCCCGACGAGCTGGGCCGGCGCTGCTCGACCACCGGCCTGCCAGGAGGCCGGGGCCCGGCCTCGCGAGCCCGCGCGGCCCTCGGGCGCGCCAGCGGCGGCACAGTGGCAGACGCGCCTGGGGGAGCTGGCCCAGCGTCCTCGCACGCTGTTGCGGCGGTGGGTCGCGGGGCGACGTTTCTCCCCAGATCCCCGAGCTTCGCCCGAAGAGTTCGGCCGCTCAGAAACATGGGGAAACCCTGGGATGCACCCCGAGAGGGCTACTCGGACGCACCCCACTCGGGGATGGACACCCCCCCATCGTATATCTCAGGGTTGGGCCCCAAGTTTCTGGTCCATTCGGAAACCCCACGAAGCCTGGGATAGGGGTCGACATATCCCCTTTTAGTGGGCATGCGTTGGGGAATGCGCCATGGAGGCGTGGGACTCTGGGGGATTCCTTGTCTTGATGAGGGCGGCAATGGTATCCAGGGCAAGGATGTGTCCACCGGATTCCAGGACCCTGGGCTCCTCCTCCGAAGCCCTCGCCGCAAGATTCTCGATCGCATGTCCGGTTGTACCTGGCGTTGCGTGCGCGGCGCCTAGAGCCCCCCCCCCCCGCCTGCTGCAGGGCGGGGTGCCGGAGCTGCAGATGGGGCAGCCCCCTCCTCCTCCTCCTCCTCCTCCTCCTCCTCCTCCTCCTCCTCCTCCTCCTCCTCCTCCTCCTCCTCCCCCTCCTCCTCCTCCTCCTCCTCCTCCTCCTCCTCCTCCTCCTCCTCCCTCCCTCCTCCTCCTCCTCCTCCTCCTCCTCCTCCCCCTCCCCTCCCCCTCCCCCTCCTCCTCCTCCTCCTCCTCCTCCTCCGAGCAGGTCCGTCCCAGAGGAGGCCTGCCGGTCGAGGGGCCGGCCGGCTTGCCTTCTCGCTCCTCCTCCTCTTCCTCTCCCCCCCTCCCCTTCCACATCCCTCCCTCCTCCCTCCTCCTGCTCCTCCTCAGCCTCCTCTTCCTGCTCCTCTTCGCCCCGAGGCACGGTGCGTTTTTCCCTCCTCCTCCTCCTCCTCCTCCTCCTCCTCCTCCTCCTCCTCCGTGTTCAGGCCTCCGTCGCTGAGATGCTTTACCGCCTTCGCGCCGCGCGCATCCGTTTTAAACATTTGCCAAAGTTTCACGCGTTGAGGGCGGTCCGTCTTCAAAATGTGGCCCGCGCCTTTTGCGCCGCGCGCATTCGTTTGAAAAGCCTGCGAGGATTTCACTGACGGGGCGGTGGGCAGTTTTCAACATGTGGCCCTCGCCTCAGCGCCTCGCGCATTCGTGTTACAACATGTCGGAGTCTCACGGATTGAGGGCGACCAGTTTTCAATATGTGGGTCTCGCCGTAGCGCCGCGCGCGCTCGGTTTCAACATTTGCAGGAGCTTCACGGGTGTTTTTTGTTTTGGTTTAAAAATGTTTTTTTCTCTTTTTTAAAAGTAATGTGGTTCTCGTTGTAGCGCCGCGCACATTCGCCTTCAGCACGTACAAGGTTTTCTCGGACTCCCATGGGCTTTTTTGGCCGCCTCAGACATGGTGTCAGGGCGCGACAGTTACGTTTTCTTTCGAAGTGTTGAAGTCCTAGGATCTGTGTTCTGGCACGGCTCAGGTTCGGCAAGACGCATCGGTAAGGCTGATTCGTGGCGTAGAAGTTCACATAATGGCGCCCCGTTTGGCACGTTCCGGATTTTCACACGGTCGTCTCGCAAAGGGGCCATTCCCGCAGTGAGTCCATCCTTTTCAGTGCCCGTGAAGAGGGAGCTTGCAGGAAGGGTCGATTGCAACATCGCTGATGAGGCTTGGGTTTGCACTGGTCCTCCTCCTCCTCCTCCTCCTCCTCCTCCTCTTCCTCTCCTCTCCACCCTTTCTTCCCCATCCCCGCTCTCTCTCGTCCTCCCTGATCCTCCCCCCCCCTCTCGTCCTCCCCCACATCCTCCTCGTCCCCCTCCTCCCTCCCGTCCTCCCGCAAGGAGAGCTGGACAGTGGGAGCAAGAGTCGAACCACGAGGGGCCAGCAAGCCAGGTT